GGGAAGGGGAAGGGGAAGGGGAAGGGGCTCCGGCCTCGGGCGTCCCTACGATGCGCTTGTACCGAGCGGAGAGCTTGGCGAGATGCCACGGTTTGGAAAGGGAAGTCAGGAGCCTTCCCTGCACAACATAAACCTGACCTCTTTGGTCTGCTGGCAGGTAAAGTAGTTTTGCTGCCCTTGTGTTTGCCTTTGGTACCATCTTAAGTCCCTCTGGAGCCACGGTGGCAGCAGCGTTTAGGGTGCCAGGGCGCTCTTGTACATCTCTTCATCGGTAGTGGTTTCACAGATGAATTAGGCGGTCCTAAATGACTTGGATATGGTGAGCGCTGATCAGATCTAAAGTGGCCCCGTGGTGAGAGCTCCTCGTTGAATGCGTAATCAACTGCAAATACGCATATCAAAAGGTTTTTGACTGCTGAGGACCTGAGTGTTGCCACAGTGCTTCAGAGAACCGCTGGGAACATAGCCTTCCCCTTCATCTAGAAGAGGGTACTTGATTTTGGTGAGAGGAGAAAAAAGAAGGGAGGATGTGCTGCTACTGCTGTTTATGTGTAATGGTGTTCCTCAAGGCATCTGTTATTGTCCTATTATTGCTTGCATGTTGGACAGTCAGTGCAAAACAGGCGTTTTGAAATATGGCTGCTAAAACGTGAGATGTTTGGTGTAGAGGGATTTTGCCATGTTAATTGGTATACCGATGGAGGCTGTAAGGAAATTCTCAGCATGCACAGCATCATTAGAGATGAGGAATCGATGCAGTTGTGTACTGTAGTACAGTAGTACAGAGATGGGAGGAGGAGTGTCCTACCAGGTTAAAGTAGGTACTGCAGGTCAAAGTGCATGGATTAAGTGTCATTTCTGTCTGGTCCAAGGAAATGGACTCAGTAAAATCTTTGTCACCTGCCGAGACAGTGTGGTTTTGATTTGTCAGTGAAGATACAATGCTGGTAAAAGCAGAGCTGCAGCAACATGTTATTAGAAATAGGTAAAGAATCCAGTATGTTCAGTGGGTTTCACTTTTCAGCTGGGGGTTTTGGCCTTTCATTTGGCTTTAATTTACTTATCTCTTTACCATGAAAGGAAAAAGCATTGCAAATGATTGTATGAAATAACTCAGTTCACTGGAAGAGGATTTAAACAAGCTTTCATTTCTTTCGTTACTTGTGTTTTAGTTTGTTTTATATGACTGCCTGTGCCTGACTGTAGTCTCTCTTCCTAGAAACCCCAGCTGGTGGCCAGCAATGACCGTTTCTGCCGCTTTCTCGAGGAATATTGCCCTGTTGTGACGGAAACTTACTATCCCACGATTTGGTGCTGGGAAGGTCGGGTACAGACACTCCTGCGTCCCTTTATCACATCTAGACCCCAAGTACAGTACAGGAAGTAAGTGCCTTTGTTCAGGGAAGTGACTGATTTGGTAACCAGCTGTTACCTTACTCTGACTGTGTCACAGCTACCATCATTGCTCAAGTTTGTGCCTATATTTTTTTTGCTTTATGCCCACCTTTAAAACCCCGTCATAGACTTGCAACCATCTTCATCCTGGATTCAATACACAGTAGGTTTAGAAGGTCAGTATTGTCAACAGGCCGTATTTTAGCTCAGAGAGTTTTGGAGCACTGAAGTATTGGTGACAATATAGGAATTGATGTGGTTATATGTTCACAGGATTACACAGTGGATGAGGTCAGAAAAGATCTCTGGGGTCACCTTGTCCAACTCCTCTGCTCAAGCAGGGTCACCTAGAGCCAGTTGCCCCAGATCATGTCCAGATGGCTTTTGGATTTTCCTAAGGATGGTGAATGCACAACACCCCTGGGCAACCTGTGCCAGTGCTCAGTCACGCTCACATTGAAAAGCTATTTCCTGATGTTCAGAGGGAACCTCCTGCGTTTCAGGTTGTGCCCATTGCCTCTTGTTCTGTCAGTGGGCACCACTGAAAGGAGCCTGGCTCCATCCTCTTTGCACCCTCCCTTCAGGTATGTAAATGCTTTGATAAGTTCCCACTGAGCGTTTTTTTCTCCAGGCTGAGCAGTCCCAGCTCTCCTAGCCTTTACTCATAGTAGATAGTCTCCAGGTCCTTCATTATCTTTGTGGCTGTTTGCTGGACTTGCTCCAGTATGTCCGTGTATGTCTTCCTTGTACTGGGGAGCCCAAAGCTGGACACTGTACTCCAGGTGTGGCCTCACCAGTTCTCAACAGAGGGGCAGGATCACCTCCCTCGAGCCACTGGCAACACTCCTAAGCCTCCACAGCCTCCAGGCTGTTAGCCTGCTTTCCTGCAAGGGTGTGCTGCTGGCTCACGTTCAGCATTGTGTCCACCAGGACCCTCAGGTCCTTTTGTGCCAAGCTGCTTTCGAGATGCTCAGGCCTCATGCTGTACTGGTACATGAGGTTGTTCCTTTCCAGGTGCAGGACTTCACCCTTCCCTGCACTGAACTTCATGAAGTTCCTGTCAACCCATTTCTCCAGCCTGTTGAGGTTCCTCTGGATGGCAGCACAATTATCTGGCTTATCAAATATTTGAATGCCAAATTTTGCAAAGGTCATGCAGTCAATCTGTCCAATAAACCAACATGTTCTACCTTAACCATAGCGTGGCCACATTCAGCCTTGTTTTGAATATACAGAACTTCTGGGATTTTCAGAGTAACTTTTACCTGTGGGGTTTATGTTGTGTTCTTTGATGCCTAAATTCTAAGAGGGAAAAAAACCCTTATATTTATTGTTTGTCCTCAGCTGATCTCTCTCACACAGAAATGAGACTTAGTCTGGCAAATGAGGCATTTGGCACAAGACCTAAGCAGAAGTACTTTTCTGCGCCGGAACCTGGATGCAGCACAAGTTGTTTCAGCTTTGCTTGCATGGTAGAATAGATTTAGCATTTAGCAGCTTCCCTTAGTGTAACTAGGAAACACTTCAGTGGTATGGCCATGTCCATTTTTTCTAGCCCGTCTTGTATACTTCTGTTTCAAGGTTTGTGAGGGAAGAAACATAGTTCCATGGGGCAGTGCTTATTTTGCACCATTTGAGATTGTGTTGGCAGTACACACCAGCAGTGTACCTACTTCCCATTAATGAAAAAGGGCAAAGCTGAGCTAATGAGTCCAATGAGGCTGATGACCTTTAAAATCTGGAGTAGTTGCTACCAAGACTTTCAAATGAAAAAACAAATGCAAGGTAGGCTCACATTTTGGTAGTTCCTACACCACCTCCCCTGAGCCATGTCTTCATTGCCAGGAAGAGGGAAGATGCTGTATGTTTCCAAAAAAAAACCACCAAACCGCCTTTTTGTCATTGTTTAACACATGCTTAGCTTCCTCAGATATAATATTTGTTGCACTGTTTTTAAGATACATGGTTTAAGAGTTCACTGTAGCTAAGTTTGTGGAGATACAGGGTGAAAGGTATAGTAGTGTGTGTCTGCGTTCTGCATGTTTAAAACATCCCTTATACATTCTGCTGCTTTGGATAAAGATGAAGAACAGACGTGATAAATGTTTATCACATTGCCCAGTGTGTTATCAAAAGCTTCTCAGGTGATCCAAGGGAAATCTGCAGTACACAAGCATATATAAAACAGAAGGCAATGCCAGAAATCACATTAGTTACAAGCTCCCAGTACATCAGCAGCAATTTATGAAAGGTCAGGTCTTCATTTGCTGTGAATGGGAATTATTCCGCAAATTGAGCGTTCTAAGCTTGTCAGCTGTAGGTGTGACTCTTTCTGAATGGTAAACATGCAGACGTGCCTAGTCAGGTGGCACTTTGAGTATTAAAACATACCAAAACCCGCAGAATTCATACCTGGTAATTTGTGCACTGTGAGCACTCTTAATAGCATGCATGTATTTTTCAATCTAATCAGTGTTGTCTTGAAATGTGCCTTTCAGTGAGCTCATTAAAACAGCAGATGGAGGACAGATTTCGTTGGATTGGTTTGATAATAATGACAGCTTATACTATCCGGATGCCAGCACAAGACCCACCGTCCTGTTATTGCCTGGACTGACAGGAACCAGCAAGGAATCCTACATTCTTCACATGATCCGTCAAAGTGAAACGCTCGGATATAGGTGCTGTTTTATTGCTAGTATTTTGCTTCTTCTAATAAGATCAGATATAAGTATATGGATGTATAAGATGCCTTGCCAAAGCAAATGAGATCTAAATACATTGGTTTATGTAAGAAAGTATTATTAGTAATAATAATGATAGTGGAATTATGTAACAGGCAGTACATTTAGAAGGTCTGATTTAATATCTACAGATGTGCCCCCGAGATCGCAGTGAAAACAAGCTAAGTCAGCAGAGGCCTTTGCTGCTGATTCTTAAATTATGATATCAGCCTTTACACTTTCTAGAGAAGGGGTTTGTATTCAGCTCCAAGAAGACTTCTGTGGATGGGTTGCTGGCAGCAGGCCTTGGAGGAGGTCAGCTTCTGAATGCCAAAATTGCTTGATTCAGCAGCCTCAAATTCCTGGGTGCAGAAAGGAGACCTAGCCTACTCTTAGTGGTGATGTTTGAGGAGGAGATCTGTCACCCCTTAACTGTCACTGCAGAATTTAGTTTTGTTCTGTTCAGAGTTGGGTAAAATAAGTGGATTAGTTGATGAGTAGACTCCTTTACGTAATCATATTGCTGCTGCTGTGCTTTAGAATAAGTTGTCATTGTTCCAGGACCTGTATTTGGAATATTACATTTTGTCTTTGCAGATTGGCTTCTGGTACTGACTATAATAAGTGCTTCAAATGTGTATACATGAGCTTTTATCTACATGTCTGTCTCTCTTCTCTGTTTGGAGGTTTGGCTAACTGCTTTACTAAATTATGAAAGTAAAGTAGCACTTTAATGGTCCAAAGTACTTTTAAAATCACTTTAACATGTACCAGTAAAAAACATCAGAGGAAAGCCCTCAAATCATCAACTTTTTGCTATAATTTTTCAAGTATTCCTGAAAGCAATGTCTGCATTTGGTCACCTAAGAGAAGGTATAGCATTTATAGGGAGAGCTTTAGGTCAGATTTGAACAGAGTGCTATAATTTAGTTTTTAAACTGCAACATATAAGAAAAATACCTAGATAAGTAATTTTTCATGCCTTCAACCCATATAAAATATGTACATATTATTTAACAAAATTATTACAGTGAGATGGTTGAAGAGTAATAGAAAAATAAGATTTATTAAGAAAGTATAGATCTTTAAATTGTGCTAATACTGCTAGAAGATTCAGAGGCTCCCACTGACATAGAACAGAAACTTCTGCTGTGCCAGACAAAAAAAAAAATCCCATCTCCAAGAACCTGCAGCTTAGATGCAGCTGTCATTATAATTTCAATTTGGCTCATTTCTTGCAGTTTAATGCAATTATGAAGCTTTGGAGGATGTCTGTGCATGGATCTCTGACGTCCTTTTTCAGCACACAGCTGTAGGCTCAGCCCAGCACTGGCAGAGCTTATGGCAGAGTGCAGGCAGGACATGTCTGTACCATCTTCAGGTAAACCCTGGGGTTCTCATCATGCAATCTGACCTTGACCAGCAAATCATGGAGCTCCTGTAGAGTCCCACTGACTTCAGTGAACTCCATTTTGCTATAAAGCTTGTTCTACCCAGGTCAGGCTCTATGATCTCTAGATCTGTCAATATTTATGTGCCAATTTATTCATAGAACTGGATCGTTTTTCTTTATGCATTTTCTTTGTGTGTGTGTTCAAGTTCATGAACAATGTGTATAATTGAATTCACTGTCTCAATTTTTAGATGCGTGGTGTTTAACAACCGGGGAATTGCTGGTGAGGAACTTTTGGTAAGGATGACTTCTAAGATAAACATCTGTCACTTCAAGGTGGTGTATGTGGAATCATTCATGTTTATTTGTTTGGCTGGAGTTGAATGAGAGAAACTCACAGCATGTGCTGAAAATGAAGAGAAGGGAATCCTCTGTCTGCTAGATCAATTGTGCCAATACTCATTGCTTATTTTAAAACTCAAAGAGGTCAGCTGGTCAACACACAATTTTTCTGAACATTGCATTTTAGGAAACATTTTCCATTATTGATATCTGTAACATTAAAATGAGCAGTCCTTACACTTTTTTTCCCCCCAAAATGCTACAGTATCTAAGATGTACATATCCAAGAAATTCTGTTCAATCAGTACAATTTTCCCTTTGTTTTAATACACAAATCCAAATATAAGCAATTGTAATTACTTTCCCAGTTGCCATTATGAGTTTAAAATAGATTTTGATATGGGTAAAAAGTTGTGCCGTTAAAAATGCTCCATATTATGTGTTAATGAATTAATGAGCCAGATTTATATGGATAGTCACATCCTAGAAGTGAAATGTGTTCTTGTATTTTTCTCAGCAATTCTGACACAAATTCACCTACAGAAGGCAAATTTTTTTTTTTGTCTTTAGGACAGACATATAATGTTTGCTTAGAAATAACTAGCCATTCCTCAGATGAAAAAGTCTTGCAGCTGAATGTTTTCTGCAGCTAGGGACAAGGCATGATGAAATATTGCTGAATAAGCTTTGTTTCTTCCTATGCGTTGACAGTTCTGCAGCTGGAATGAATGTGCATAATACTAGGTATTGTTTTGCATTTTTTAATCCCCTGGTTTCGAACTTTAAAAAGCTCAGAAATGTTTTCCCATAATCAGATAAAGCATTTCAATGCAAATATTGCCACGTTAAGAGTAGTTTTCTGCATACTTTTGGTGATGGACCTACAAAGCAGTTTTGTGACTCACAAAGTCCTTATTGATGAATTTCTGAACCATTAAGAGAAAAGATCTCTTGTTTGGATGCATTGTTTGTATTTTACTGTAATCGGATTTACATCTTTAAGCTTTGTAAAATCTTGCAGCAGAGAAAAACAGCTGAAATTACCACATTTTCTGCAAAGGGGTTTCTACATTTTAATATGAAATCCCTAGTTAATGAGTTTGAAGCACAGTTAAGCACCACAGTAGAAATTAGTTGTGTCAGCAGTTCTTTTTCTAGTCTCTTTTAAAGAGGGATTCAAACTTATACTAAATAATAGTTATTTAAAGAATGTTCTCATTGGTTATTGAAAGTTACTGTGTATTTATCAGATCGGGGTCCATGCCTCAATCTGCCACAATCAGATTTTAGATTGACCACAGCCAATGTGAGCTAAGATGGTGTTTTGAAATATCTTTGTGTAGTGAGTAAGATAGATAGATAGATAGATGGATGGATGGATGGATGTTAAACTGTCAGGAATTAACTGAAGTTAAAATGCAAGATATCTCTCTAGTTTTATGAACTTTTAATTAAATACACTTTCACTTAGAATACATTAGACCCTAGTTACCAAAACTAATTTATTTTCCCTTGTAAACTTGACAATTTAATTAAAATAAAACACATTCACACTGTTTGTAATTAATGGGGTGTAAAACAGCAAAGAGTGTTCTCATCTCACGTGAATGAGAACTGGAAATGCAGCATAAATGAAAATTAAAACTGTGTTCAGATTTAATTATCCAGATTTAGCTTTCCTTTCCATTATTTTAATCTTTGACTTCAGCACTTCAATATTCTTGTTGAATATATTTTAAGTAATTGGTCTTATCTAAATAGACTTGTTAAAATCCCCTACAAATAGCCAGGCTGTTTAACTGAAAGCAAGTTTAAAAATGCCCTTGAAATGCATTGTTGCTTCAGGCAGCAAAGAAGTTCCATTATCATTACATATTTTTATATATAATTTTAATGTTTATACTGAATTTTGGCAGGTCAGTCAATACCTATAGTTCAGTCAAGGTCACTAACACGTTAGTAGCAACTCTGATGTTAAAAGCTTTCTTTTGCTGTAGAGGAAATCTGGACAACACCATTAGAAAAAAACCCCTTATTTTATTGTGATTCTCCTTGTCCCTAAAAGTACTTGTCTCCCCCCCTTACACTGCTCCAGATAGTCCCCTAGATTGTGGCCTATTCTGGGTGTCTGTGCAGGTGAGGCTCAAAAGCTGTGCTAGTTCTTCAGTGGCAGGGAAGGGGTTACCCAAATCTCATTGATGCCAGTGGAAGTCATTCCAAGTCTCAATTCAAGATCTAAAGAGATGCTAAGGACAGATAAAGAAAGGATAATCTATGTGTTTCATTGCTTTAGTTAACAGAATAATTTACTAAATTAGGTAAACAGCACTGGGGAATTTATTTATCTATTTATTTGTTCGTATTGTATGTAGAATCTAAATATTGGTTACTTTTCAAATTCTAGCTGAGAGAATTTGAAATCTAATACTTACTTTTGCATTTGAATGTGGGTGATGATGGTAAAATTGTCATTATAACTTCCTTTTCTGCAAATCACAGCCTGTAGGATATGTTTCCATTTCCTCAGGGTATTTTAAAAATATCAGTGCCTATCTAGTTCTGATCTAATTCTATCTCGTTTACCTCGTTGCTTTCTGCTCAGATTTTGTCTATTGACCTGGAAGTTGCAGATACTGAAGATATCTGTCACTTGGTTTATTTTGTAATGCTAACAAGTGTAATTCCTTCCTCCACTTCCTCATGAAACACTCTGGCTTTATATTTGCCATTTAGTGCAGCTTCATGATAAATGCTAAATTTATCTTGTTATATAAATGATCCACTGTTCAGTTTGCTTTGTCCTTAAAGGATAATACAAAAGCTTATGTTGGCATTTTTTCCCCTCTGACTCCTTACAGACACCAAGGACTTACTGTGCAGCTAACACAGAGGATTTAGAGGCCGTTATTCATCATGTACACAGCTTGCACCCCTCAGCTCCATTCATGGCAGCAGGTGTTTCTATGGGAGGGTAAGGCTATGTAACACTAGTCTCGGCATAACTCTTATTGTGAAATAAGACTCTTGTAGCCCAGTTGTAAATTACTATTCTGCAATGCTTGCATTACTTACTGAACTGCAACTAACTTAGGTCTGCCTCCAACAGTCAATACGCAGAAGACTTAGAAACTTCATATCTTTGAGGCTTTTAGCTCTGTGTCAGGGAAGGTCGAAATTGGCCAACATTCAAAAGTTGAAAGGGGTGGAGAAAGACGGGAAACTGACAGATTGACAGCCGAACAGGTAGGCATACAATCTTTGGAAACTGTGGAGGCTGTCTTTGGAACATAGGGGTAAAAATAGAACTAAAGCTAATATATTCTAATATATATTGGAATATATTAGAATATATATAATACATATTCTTAGCAACCTGTGGAAATGACAAGATTTGTCTTCAGTCTGTTTGGGTTCTGCAGTGTGTGGGTAGGTTAGGCTGGAAGAGGTGTGGGTATCTGCTCTGTCTGGCTGAGAAGCAAGAAGTAGTACTGTTGTTGAAACCCGCATGGGTTGATAGAGCATGTGGTGTTAAGACTTGCTGTGTCCTGGCTTCTCTCCAGAAAGCACAGCTAGAACAGACAACGACAGCACAGCTTCTTAGGGAAAAAACACTGCTAGAATCTAGGAGAATGTTCAGGCAGCCTCTTCAACAAAAATCACAGGGGAGAAGAATTTTCATTAGAAGGACTGCAGACACAGTGGTAACTTCCTGAAACTTCCCTTCTCTCTGATAAATTTTATGGAGGATGGGCAGATGCAGCCTAGTATATTGACATTAATCCGCTAATGACTTGTAGGAGCTTTGGGACAAATACATATTTGTTCAAGCAATATAGTATTGATAATCAAATAAATAATTAACTTGAAAGCTTTTAAATCAGGCCAATCCTTTTCCATTCATGTTTTGGCATTTTGCCAGTGTCTTCAAGTATGAAGACGTATAAATCTCTCCAGTATATCTGTGTCTGTCTTGCTGGGAAACCCACAATTGGGCACAGTACTCCAAATACAATCTCGTAAGTGTCAAATACAGGGAAATAATAATTTTCCTAATCCTGCTTGTTTAGCTCCTCCTAACAAAAGTACAGCATGTCGTTAGTTGTCTTCATAGCTGCAAGAGTGCATCACTGAGTCACGTTCTGTTTGCCCACGTCTTTTTCAGCTGCTCTCAATCCGCTCATTAGTCTGTCCTAGGTGCTGGATTTGATTTTGCCTTTGTTGAACTTCATGAGGTTTCTGCCAATCCATTTTTCCAGCCTGTTGAGGTCCCTCAGAATGCCAGCTCTGTCTTCCAGTTCAAACTCCCCACAGTCTGACCTGCAGGCTTCATAAGGGTGCATTCCATCTCATCATCCAGTTAATGAAGAGACAGTATTGGCCCTATTATTGCCCCCTGAGGAACACTACTAATACCTGGTCCAACCACTACAGTTGTACTTCAAGTTCCTGAACTCAACTCCCTGAGCCTAGTGGTCTAGTCAGCTTTTCATGCACATTGCAGGTCACCTATTCAGACCATGTTCCTCCAGTTTGGCTACATGGAGACCATGGAGACTGTCAGATGCCTTGCTAAAGTCAGAATAAGCAACATCCACTCCTTTCCCATAATCAGTGAAGGCAATGAGCTCATCATGACAAGCAGTCAGTTTGCTCAGGCATGTTTTGTCCTTGGTAAATGCATGCTGGCTGTTATCAGTCGCCTTCTTTACTGTTACATGCTTGGAAATGCCTTCCGGTGGGTACTCCCAAAGTGCTGAGGTTAGGCAGTGCAGCTTGTATTTCCCTCTCCTCCTTGCAGTCCTTGTAGGTGGGTGCTTGTGTTTTCCAGGCATCAGAAATATCCCACAGTTGCCACAACCTTTCAAAAGTGATAGACAGCGGTTTCATAACAACCTTGAAGCTTTGGTGCACCTCACCTGGTCTGTTGACATGTCTGTGCCCAGTTTGCATAATCTGAGCCCTAACTTCGTCTTCTCGTGCCATTCTTCCATACTTGGTCACTAGGCACAGGGACCTATTAGGTCCTGAGAACTGACCTGAGCAGTAAAGGCAGGGAAGACATGTAGCCTTTGCTTTTCTTTACAAATCTTTAGTCACTAAGTTCCCTGCTCTATTGAGTAGTGGTCCCAAGAGGGGAAAAATGCTGGTCAGCCTAACTTCAGTTCTTTGGGAAGATCCTCTGGGAGCTATTTCCAAGCATATGAAGGATAAGAAGGTGACAGTATTCATGCAGGGCAAAGCACTCCTAAGTGATCTGATTGCCTTCTATGATAAGATGACCAGCTTCACTGATGAGGGGAAAGAAGTGGAAGTTGCTTGTTGCCTTTTTTTGTACCAAAATAATTACAGAAGCCTTTCTTGTTGAAGAGACCTTTCTCTTGTTGTCCTGCATATCCCTTGCTCTTTCCAGCTCCAGCTGAACTTTAGTTTTCCTAACTGTATCCCTGCATGCTTGGGCAATGACTGTCTCCCAAGCAGACCACCTCCCTTTCACCTTAAGGATACTTCTCCTTGAAATCATTCAGGAGGGGTTTTTCCTCCATGTGGTCTTTTGCTACTCTTGCTCAATTTCCTGCACATCAGGATGTACCATGTTCGTGCTTTACGTTCAGTTATCCTTAAACAGGTCTCTCAGACTCCTTTTGCCATCAGGGCCATCTCATATGGGATCCTGCCAACCAGGTCCCTGATGAAATGAAAGGCAACTCACTCCAGTATTGTTACTCTGTTGCTTACCTTCACCACTTACTTTTGAGCTTAAAAATCCACCATCGAATAATCTCAGTGGCCAAGACTGTTCTGCGCTTTTTTGTACCTTACATGTGAGCAGGAGATCCATAGGACAGTTTCCTTGTTTGGGTCCTTGATTGTATATCAAAAGGTTGTCCTCATTGCTCCCCAGAAATCTGGTCTTTTTGTGCCTTGCTGCAGTAGTTGATGCAGGATGGTTACAGTTCCCTGGGCCTGATGTTTATGGAGGGCTGAAGGTGCTGTAGAAGCTGGATGTTCTGTGACTGGTTCAAAGGAGTCCTTAGTGTCATTTCTGACCTTGGCTTAACCTAGTTATGGTATCCTAAATAGTGGCAAAGTGTGTTAGCATGGCACAGGGGATCTGTGTTGTGTTCCTGGTCCATACCTCACCACCACCACTGGGCAGTTTTAGGCAAGGGGTTCCACCTTTCTCCCCCAGTATGTTTTTGAAATCCTGAACCAAAACCAGAAAGCAGGTACTGAAATGTACAGAAAACTAGAAGAGTCTCTAGTTGTCCGCATGAGAACTGTTTCCATGCTTCAGAATAATTGGAGCACTTGCATGTTGAAAATTAAACAGGAACAAAATTCTCACTGGGGACATACTGTGAAAATTATCCACTTGTCTTAATCTTACAGTAGTTTTTATTATCCTTTTCAGAAGTTTCTGAGTAGCCAGCTAATCTATATAGGACAGAAGTGCCCAGTGAAGAATTAAAATAAACATTCACTTCATGGGCATGTAAATGAAAGTCCACTTGTTCTACTGATCTTCAGTATGTATTGTTTTGGAAAGGGACTTTATTTTCAAACACAGAGATTCCCAAACCTTCTCTCCACCACATATACTCTGTGAACTCTGTTAGAGAAGTGTCTTCTACTACCACAGCTTTTTTTTAATGGTTTGTTAGACTACTGTCCTGTGATCTGGTTGGTAGTGCACAGGGATAAAGACTCTGTGATAGCAGGTTGGTTCATGATGTCTTTACTAAAGATTGGTGTATCCTGAGGTACGGTAGATGAAGCTAAGGTACAGAGTGTTGGTGGTCCACAGAGCTGTGTTAATGTTAATAATTAATTACCATGTTTTGTGTTAAAGGCTTGGTATTAAAATGCTGGTTGTAAACTTTGGGGTCTCAGGCAGTAAGGTAAGACTTAGAGCTTCTCTGTTAGCATTTTTATTTTACTCTCTTCCTATTTTATTTTTTCTACCTTTGAAGGGTCAGATACTTGTGAACTCCCCCCTTTTCCAGCTCGTGTACATTAGCAGTAGTGACTGTAAGGTGCAATTGGTCAGAAAGACAAGACTTAAGCCATTTATTTGGATCATAATTTTGTTTCCCTAATTTTATTTATTATCCAGCACTTCATTCTTTACATACTTTGTGTTAGAGAACAGTTGTGTTCTCTCATATGTGTGAGGTGAGGTAACTTCAACTCAGAAGACTTCTTCACAGTGAGGCAGGTATGCTAGGGGCAGCTTCCATTTGTCAGGCACACTGATCAGGTTTATCAGATCAGGAAGACCAAGAGCTTGTGTAATGGTAAAACTTACTAAGAACTTGGTAATACATTTTCTATGAGTAAGAATCGCTTACTTGACCTTTTCCTCCCTTTTACTGCCTTTTACTGATATAAATAAGACTAGTACTTCTCTATTTCTAAATGCACTCCTACCCACACCCTACGCAGTGCACCCAGTTCCTCTCTGATAGTAGGGAGAGAAAGTAAACATCATGAGTCATATGTTGATTACATGACTACCTTTTAGTGTATTAGGCACAACTGTAGGGCTGATACAAGAAAATGTTGAAAAACAGACAAAAAAGTGGCTGACTGTTATATTTACTATAAATTGAAGCAAACAATTTGCTAGTATATGTGTTTCTGTTTTTCATTTCTGTTTGTAGTATGCTTCTTTTAAATTACCTGGGCAAAACTGGCAGAGACACTCCTTTAATGGCAGCTGCAATTTTCTGTGCGGGTTGGAATGTTTTTGAATCTGTAGCATCACTGGAGAAGCCACTAAACTGGCTTCTTTTCAACTATTACTTGACCACTTGTCTACAATCCTCTATCAGCAGGTGAGTTGCCTTCTGAACTATTTAGCAAGGTGTAAGGATGTTAGCATGAGGTCTATAGCAGGTGTAATTATTATATTGACAAAGTTAATGCTGTAACGACACTTTGCATAGCTGTGCTGTGTGTGTTCTTCAGTAAGATTTGAAATCAAAAGGATCTTTGCAAGAAAATTTGTCATCAGTGTGACTAAATTTATCTGCTCAAGGGACTCAGCACAATGTGCTTCTATATTTATGGATGAAGTAAATGGATTTTTTAAATTTTTAGACATGCACGTGAATATATATCTATATATACTCATACTTTTTAATCAGTGTTGACTGCAAAAGCACAGAAGAGGGTAGTTCATCCATCCATTACTTTATAAAACTAGGCTGTATTTTGTATTCCCAAATCCTAAGTTCTCTTACCTTTGGCATGGCCTTTGCCAATTTTTACTGTGCTGCTGGATGTGCCTTCATATGAATGAACAATTCTGGTGCTCTCAGATCCCAGAGAGATTTTTAATGTCACAGAAAATTAAAAACAAGCATCTTCTTGTTAGAAAGTTACTTCTATTAATGTATCTGTAAAGCAGAGGACTTCTACATCTGTTTACATAGCCAAAAAAAACAAGCCCTCCAATTTTTGTCTCCTTTTTAGGCATCGACAAATGTTGGAGAAGTTATTTGATATGAATCTTGTGATGAAGGTATGTGAAAATGTTGCTTCTGCTTTAGCTGGATTCTGTTTTCCAAATGCTGACATAGTTCCCTATTTGAATTCTGTACTTCAGGCTAGAACTGTTAGAGAATTTGATAAGCAGTTCACTTCAGTCATGTTTGGCTACCGTTCTATTGATGATTACTATGAAGATGCTAGCCCGTGTCGCAAGCTGAAGTCAGTAGGAATTCCAGTGTTATGTCTAAACTCCATGGATGATGTTTTCTCACCAGGTCATGGTAAGTTTAGGCTTTTTAAATTTTATTTGTCTGTATATGCAGTCATTAAGACAAACTACGTAGGTTTGAGAATGAACTCAGATCCATGTGTAGAGGTGTATTTGAATGTTACTTGTACATAGGATCAAAACCTCCAGGGATGCCTCACTCTTGCAGTTTACTTGCAGTGTAAGACATATAAAACAGCTGTTGATGGAGAGACCTGATGAGTACAGAATGTAGAAGCACACGGGGTGGCCTCATTAGCCATTAGTGGAATCTTCACTGTCAAAAAAAAGAAATATACACAATTAGGGTGTGAGGTAGCTCACTGTAAGGAAAATACCAGATGTAGTGTCCTCTCGGAAGCACCCATTTCTATTCACCAAGTACAAAGAGAGCCTATGATACAGGAACTCGGATTCAGATGTCTGGGTTGCAGGCATTCAGACTTCAATGCAAGTGAAAACAACTATTTTTTTACTGCCACTCTTTAATCCAGTCCCTACAAAGAATGTCTGGGAGCTGTTTATGTATGGTATGAGATGGTATGAAATCCTCAGCTGTTGATTGCAGTGCCACCTCCAGTGCCTGAAAATTAAAAGTAAAAAAAAATAATCTAAGTCAGCATGTAGGCCAAAATCTAGGGTAAGGGAAGAGATATACACAGAGTGAGCTCCTAGAAGGAGGCACGTTGAAATTAATAGGAATCTTAACTGGAAGATGAAGCAGCAATATCAACTAAGTAACAGGCTGAAAACTGCTTTCCATTTTCTTCTTATCTTCTGCCAAACACGTGATGATTATGAACATTTTGCTTTTGCTCTGAAGAGCAAAGCCCTGTTGCTAACTACCCTAAAAAGATACGGTTGTTCCTGTGGTCTGTGCATTGGTTATAGTGTCTGAGATGAGAGGGAGAACAAAAGCTAATGTTGAGGAAAACCACTAAAATGAACAGCTAGTCGAGACGACAGTCTTCAGCAGTGAACACCTGTCACCTTTAAAAATGAAGTTGATACACTTGATTTATTTCCGGGAAGTTTTCTTCTGCCACCACAAGTGAAGTGAGATTCTTGCAGAATGAGTCATGAAACCAAATCGAGCGGGCCAAACAGATTAGAACAAGCAGCAGAGAATGAAGTAGTTCACAGTGTGTGAACTACTCTGTGTGTGCACAAACACTCTGTGTGTGGACTGTTTATCTGTGTGCAGACATACAACACATACAGAAACATGCACACACTTTACTGTTTATTGTTTGAAGACCTGTTAGAAGCAGATGTGACAGAAAGAAAAGGGCCCCTCCAGTAGAGTGCATTAGAAAGAGACAGTCTGGTTTCTTCTCCTCTTGAACAAAAAGCATCCATGCTTTGCATGAACAATATAAAGAACTGACAGCCACCTACAATGAGGGCAAAAATATTGACTCTGAAGTAACAAAACTAGCTGTCCCTTCCATGGGCCAAAACACAGGCTTAAAAAAATAAGATCTGAGTAAACACAGCAATATGATTCCAGAATACTGCATCCCCCTTTAACAATTTGCAGTTCAAGGGCTTTCTGAGACAGAGTTAGGCCCTTTGTATTTACTAGATTCTGTGGGATTTTTTTTTTCCTTGAAACTGGACAGTTGCTCATTCTCTTATAAGCTTATAATGGCCTGGAAAAGAGAATGAATGGGGCCATGATCCTAAACTCTATGTCTGAATATAACTTTCCCCATGGTACTGCAAGGTGGGTCATCTACTGTGCCATGTTTCTTTCACAGAGCATATGAGAGAGGGAGCAATGAGTTCACCTCTGTGTTTAGCTCTAGCTTAATTTGTGGCTTCTGTTCTAAAGTGAAGTAGTAACTGTGGCAGGAGTAAACTACCTAGTTAGCATAGTAGCTACATAACAACAGCGGTGAACCAGACAGTGTGTCTCTGTCCCTGAAGGGACAGAGCCATTCTAGCCTATTATCACTGGGATTGGGAGATTTGTTAGCTAGATGAAAGCTGGTGCAGATACTCCATCTCCTCTTCATTTTAGAATACAGCCTCCAGCTCTCAAGAGCCAGCTATTGACCTGACCCCATGAAATTCAATCTGAACACAAGAAAACACTTTTTTTTTTACTGTGAGAGTGGTCAAATGCTGGCATAGAGAAGCTGTGGAGTCTCCATCTATGGAGATACTCAAAACCTGATTGGACACAGCCCTGGGAAACCTGCTCTAAGTAACCCTGCATGGGGGTTGGACTAGATGATCTCAAGGTCTCTTACAGCCGTTACAGTTCTGTGTACAGACTGTGTAGTTTGACTAGTGAAAATACTGAGTTCCCTAGTGTACAGCTATAGCAGACCTCTCCACTTTGAAGCTGTTTTTTAAAGAAACACAACTCTTGGTAAACAGTGGGATTGTTGCTTGTGTAAGATTAGGTATCAGACTTATTGTGAGAATGCCTTAGAAGTCTTGCAGTGACGTAGGCAGTGAGATAGAGCACCAGCACTTTTGAAACAAGAAGTCTTAAGAGTCTGTTGTAATGATCGTCCATCCTCTCCTAAACTCTGACCCTAACCAGCCCCTCTCCATGAAAATATTTGGGTGGTTAGGCATTCATTTATTCTTTCTTCACAGAGTTAATGCTGTTAGCTGTAAACCCTTGTCCTTTTGGTGACAAGTTTACCTTAAAAAGGGCCACCAGGACAATGTTGATTTACAGCTAATGGCACAACTCTATTATGTGTGTGTCTTATCCTTGGCTCCTTTTTTGTTTGTGCTGTGCACCCTCAATGTGAACCGTTGTGCTGGCACAAGACAGAGCACCATGATCAGCAGCCTAGGATTTATGTCTGCTGCCATTAGTTACTGGAGTTCATTCATCTTGACACTTCTGCAGCCTGTTCTATGTTAGCAGACATAAAGGGCTGGTGTTACTCTTGGAGGTGACTTTATTCTGGCAACTGGCTTGTTTTTTCTGACTTAAAAGTGTGTGGATGCATGTAACCAGGGACAGTTTCCACTCACAACTATGTAATGAATTCAAAGCCACAGAATTCATTTTCATCCAGACCCCAGCCTTTTATTGACTTTGTGGACTGGTTATTTCATGCCTCATCTCTCCCAGTAATACCTACCAGTTTTAAGCTACCTTCCACCTCTGTTGTAGCTGGCTGTAGTTTCCAAGAGCTGGGAACAGGCCTAGAAAACTCATCAGGGAGAAAGCCGTGCCAGAATTCCTTTGTGGTTAAATATCCTGCATAAAGCCAGAACGTCTGTCTGTAACAGAGCTTGGGAGATACAAAACCAAGTCTGCTTTGTCACCACACAATGTGAACCTAAAGAGAGACACTTCCCTTAAAAAGTACAGGTGCTGTCTTTGTTGCTTCTTGCTACCTGATCATTTCTTCACATGTTCTTTTTGGTATGCTTTGTACTTCCCAGCAGTTATTTTTGAATATGTTGTGAAAGTGTGCCCTTTGATCTCAATCCAGTATTAGGAAGAAACAATCAATTTGGAGTCCCTCCTTAATGTTGCTGTTTAAAGTTCACAGAGCTTGGCAGCTGATGTATCTGTATTTTAATTCTGGAATGCAGCTCTCATATTGCATAATACTAAGTAATGGAAACAAATGCTTTCTTCATTGCATGACACTTCTTTCGCCATAACTAATTTAAACAAGCCATTGCTTCAGGAAATATGTAATAAACCCAAGTCAAGCCCTTTTATTTTCTAACTGTGAAAAGTAAATCAGGAAGATGGAATGATAGCATTCATAATCAGTGTCACATTTAACTTTTCATCCGAAGTGGCATTTTTCTCCTTAGAGACTTTAAGCAGTGTATTAGGCATCTGACTTAAATTTCACTGTGCTAGTGCTTAGCTAACTGCTAGTGGTGAACATCATGCCTGAGCTGGAAGCCTGCCCTTGAAGCTAGGTACCATGCCAGCTTGCTCCTGATCCACTGTGACAATTAAGTGCATGTCTGAAGCTCAATTACATAGCTATTTTATTGAAGTCTCTGAACCTTTTATGTCCTCCTGAATGCAAACTTGGAGGAACTGCTCTTAGGTGTTATTTTGCATCCTGTTATGTAAAAAGCACAGCTGAATGAAGTTGTCTGGAGAGGCCAAATGGCCAAGGAATGGCCAGAGAGGGTAGGAGTTTAAGGAACAGGGAGAAATCAGCTCAACAATGGAATGTCTGGCAGCAATGACTTCATAGTGATGACCAGTGATTTCATAGAATCATAGAATCAACCAGGTTGGAAAAGACCTCCAAGATCATGATGTCCAACCCTACTGTGGTTACTAGACCACGGCACTAAGTGCCACATCCAGTCTCATCTTGAAAACCTCCAGGGATGGTGAATCCACCACTTCCCCAGGCAGCCCATTCCAATGCCTGATCACTCTCTTTGTAAAAAATTTCTTCCAAATATCTAATCTAAACATCCCCTGGCAGAGCTTGAGTCTGTGCCCTCTTGTCCTCCTGCTGGTTGCCTGGGAGAAGAGACCAACCCCCACCTGACTCCAACCTCCTTTGAGGGAGTTGTAGAGGGTGGCAAGATCTCCCCTTAGTTGATGGTGCTTCATAAGTATGTTTTTCTTCTGTTCTTTTTTAAAAAATACCGTTTTTTTGCAAAGAATGTACAACAAATTGATTTTGAATGAAGTAATTCTGCATACACATATTTACACTGTGATTCTGTGATCACAAATAACAGGTCTGTGCCTGCTGGATCAAACAGCAGGACACATTTTGGCCAGTAGAAACTTAAGTGCAAGGTTACACGTGGACAAAAATGAACAGTGGTATCTGTTGGCATGCCATCCTGCATCCTAGAGTACATCACATCCAGTGGTCCATTCATCTGGCCTTTACATTGCAGAATTTCCTCTGTTGCACTGTGGTTTTATTTATTGGATGGCTAACAGTCCCTAGAAACAGCCTTGAGAAAAGCACCACACTACTGCCAAGCATCATTTGCATTTTGGCACTGGAGAGCAACACAACATATTCAGTTCTCTCCCGAGAAGCTGCAGAGCACGAAACTCTGCTGGGGAGGAGTTATACAAATGAATAGGGAGAACTTCAGGATGGGTAAGATGACATTTGTAAAGACCTGCGTGTGGCTTGCAGCTTACCCGGCACTGCAGATAACCAGCATCCAAGTGCAGGATTGGTAGGCTTCTGGGAGAGAGCTGCTGGTGCTGTTTGGAGGCAGGCAGCACATGGCACCCACTGCAGCATTGCCAACCAGTTTGGGAATGAATAATTAACCATGAGCAAATTGATTTGGGAGGTATGATTACACTGGCAACCCTTGAATGACAGATACGTAGAGGTCACAGTGAGCTTTGCCTGTAAGGGCATTTCCAGCTGAGTTGGCACAGCAGAGGAGACATGTATTATCATCTCCCACACCCCCAGCAAAGCAGTTTCTTACTGGGAAAGGGGATTTCTCTTTGACACTAGTCTACCAAAGTGAATGACTGTCATGTTTTTGTGCCATCTTAGCTAGTGAAGAGGTATGTCCAGGCCAGGAAGCAGCTGATCCTGAATCCATTAGGATCGATGGAGTTCTCATGCTGTCTCTGATTCTTGGAGTTCAAATCTGTCTCTCCTCATGTATTCCTCCCCATACCCTTTCCAGAAGTCTATTTATTAGTCCCCTCAGTGACCAGGGAGACAGCTGCAGAATGACTGGAAAGTGTGATTTCGTTGCTTGAAGTAGGAACGGGGTTTGTGTCTGATCCCCACTTCTCTGTTGGAATTCTGTTTAACATGGCCCACACGCTACTGGAGGGAAGAGGAGCAGATGGCTTGGTACAGATAAGTGGGCAAATTCCTATGCAGTCGGCAGAAGCTGACATGAATCGTAGCCACTGTCTTTGTACATGGTAGTTTGTTCATCCACAGAATCCAAGGGAGGCAGATCAGAGATTGCTGAGCAGATTAACTCAGGCAAAATTCCAGAGAAGTGCTTGCTGGGTCTGAAAATGATGCAAGTGTTGGATTGCAAGAAATAACACATTGTTTTCTGCATCTCTTGTTTTCAGCCTGTGCTGTTCCCCAGTCTAGGCTTTTACTCCATTGACTTTTCTTTTTACTTTTGCCTCAGTACTGCTTTAAAGGGCCCAGGTGACTGCATACAGTATTTCCAATTTTCCAGCTGAACAAAGGAAAAGTCAAGGACTTCTTATAGAGACAGTAAGAAGCATGGTTTCTTCCACCTAGTAAAGAATCAGAATCACTTAGGAAATGCTGGAATCCATAAACTACCTTTTACTCCATTGACTTTTCTTTTTACTTTTGCCTCAGTACTGCTTTAAAGGGCCCAGGTGACTGCATACAGTATTTCCAATTTTCCAGCTGAACAAAGGAAAAGTCAAGGACTTCTTATAGAGACAGTAAGAAGCATGGTTTCTTCCACCTAGTAAAGAATCAGAATCACTTAGGAAATGCTGGAATCCATAAACTACTTAGAGCAATTTTGAATTTTTTTTAAATGGAGAGCACTGAGTAGCAAAGAACCTCACTTATTCTGCAGGAGAATCCCCATTGCTCTCTGGAGCTCGGTCTGTGCTCTCTCCAGGGCATGGTCACATACGTTATGTTATGGGCAGGAACCTTGTAACACACATTCATAAAAAACACTGACCCTGCTACACGGACGGTTGGTTTGGCATCTGTGCTGAGGCCCCGGAGTGGAACAGAGCATGTCATTCCAGGCACTGTTCTAAGGACCTCTGAGGCACAGACTGCTCCCCTGACTCTACAGGTCCAGTGCTTCTGCCCTGATCTATTTTAAGTTGCGCATCTGTTCACCACAGTCATTGCATTCAGGTTCTCGTGTGACTTACTCTGGCTGGGGGTCCTTTTTCAGCTAAGGAAGGAGTTACTGTGCTCTTCCTCTAGTTGTTGAAAATAAAGGCAAATTGGCAGCTGAACACAAAGCAATGAGCCTGCCAACATCCAAATGAGAGTAAGGAACATGTCTATAAACAAGGCAGTAATATGCAGGGATAATGATTATTCAAGGATAATGACCTTTGAGATAGCAAATGCGTGAAGGGGTAAAGGAACAGACTCCTAGAAATAGGAGTGAGTGGGGGGTGTCTCTGAAGGAAGTGCAGTCAGAAAGGGATGTGGACAACTGAACCACCCCCAAACTGAGCCTGATTAAAAACCTCACTTCAAAAATACTTTAAAATAAATGAGGAAGCAATAGAAATCTTGTAAATTACTTGCTGTTTTGTACTGCCAAGTGCAGCATTACTTGCTGCTGTTGTAGTGCCAAGGCATTTTTTCTTCGGCAGTATGACTCAAAATCAGATTTATTTTCTTGTGGAGTCACAACCTTTTTTAGGCAATAGTGTGAAACTCCTGCTACTCTCTTCTTTCTGGACAAAGCTTTTATCTTTTGCTGTTGCCTTTTCTGTCAATCCTGAATAATCAAAAAATCTGTATGATTTTTATTTTTCCCTTTCACAAAGTTTATTACCTGAAAATTGGAACTTTGAAAGGCATTCTTTACTGAATTGTATTGAGATTTCTGCTTGTTTAGGAATATATTTAGCATACCTAAAACTCCATGGGAATTTGCTTAAATAACTTAATTTTTATGGATCTGTGGTGTTTGCACTTTTGATATAAAGCTCCACTGCTGTGTCAATGAGTTCATATGATAATAGGGTCATCAAGCCAAAACACCATTCGTAAAGTCATATGCTTTCTCTGTTGTCAGTCTGCACTAACTGACCTTTATTTTCCTTCACAAAGGGAACCGAGGGGATAGCATTGATTAAGCCACACATCTATGTATAGTCAAAACAGGAGTCACTGGAGCCTCCCCTCCTGCACATTTCCAGATCAGTGCATATCTCAGGTGTCATTCACTGATGACTTTAAGCTAACTGTAGGCCATCACTGAAATAGCCACCTCATCACAGTCCTTATCTGACTGTATCTACCACCCTTCATATACTGGCATTAACGTGGGGAACTGGATCAGGGAGCTAATCAGGATCAGGAAAACTAACCCAGCAAAAGAAAAATCCAGGTAATATTGTCTAATAATCTAAATTCCAAATTAAATCAGTTCTAGCAGTCACTATTCTTTAGAGAACCACTAACCTACATGGAGCAGCTTTCTGTGTCCGTGTGCAGTTCTTTGCCCTTCCTGTTCACGTTGTGTATTAGATTATGAGCTGCTTAGGGCAAGAACCATCACCCAGTGTATTTGCATTGGTGTGCTTGAAACATGCAGGTGTAAATGTATGGCAAGTCAGATACAATGATGATAACCCAGGATAATCTGTAATATTAGCTGATAGGATATCTTACAGACCAAACCATATTGTGACATTAAAGGTTTTGTGTTTAGAGTCTCCTACAAAAAGAATGGGATCTGCAATTAAAGTCCCAGTCCCTCAGCTTTTCTAAGTTGAATATCGCAACACCAGTTAAAAACTACAGGCTCAATTGTCCTTTCACTTACACTATTTATAGCGAATCTTTAGTATGCATTAACATGGGTGCTGTTCCATCAGCGTGGCTGAAAGAAAGATGAAGCTGAAACTTTCACAGCAGCCAGAAAAAAAACCCACACAGATATGGTGAGTTAATGATGAACAGAGAAATGGCTTTTAACAGAGCGACGGTTCTACATCTTGTGGTACATTTAAGCATATGTTAATGTTGTGCATATTTATTCGTACATAATGTGAGAAAAGTTTAAGAAGAATTATTCAATGGCTGGAATTTCACAGAAGGATAAGAACTTAAAACTTTTTTCCCCACCTTTTAGCTATACCAGTAGAAACTGCCAAACAAAATGCAAACGTTGCTTTGGTTCTGACTTCGTGTGGAGGCCATATCGGTTTTCTGGAAGGAATATGGCCAAGGAAGTGCACTTACATGGACAGAGTCTTCAAGCAGTTTGTGCAAGCTATGTTTGAGCATGGAAATAAAATCTTTAGCATGTAGCTTTGGACCGCTATTATAGCACAGTGACACATTCTGACAAGGGCAGTTAAGCTTAGTGCACAAATTTTAACTCCTGTAAGCCAGCAAATGGATAAAGTCCATTACTACATGCAAAACTATTTTTGCCTCAGATTTTGTAGCAAGAAACTAAATATTATGTTGTCACTTTTATATTTATTTTTAATATGCCTTACTAAGAATGACCTTAAATGAAACAGCATTCTGCATACATCAAATTGCACTTAACCAAAACTATCAAGTAGAGAGATTATAATTCCTCAGGATTTTAATTTAAACCTGTATGTATTTAGAAGACTTAATTTAGACAGCTTTTAATATTAGAATGGCGACACTCAAAATAGCTAATATTATCCTGTCACGTAGCGTACAAGTTGGCCCATTCCTTAGGGCACTGATAGTGAAAATCTTAAAACGTGGAAAAAAAAAAGGAAGGAACAAAAAGAAGCACCAATTCTTCAAATAAGTCAAAATTTCAGCATGTTACTCCATAGCATTAGATTGATACCTGCTTTTGCTGTTCTGCCCTGACAGCGTTCAGATTTAGGGCTGGTTATTGTTTTTTAAACTGTGTCAATGCCATACTTGTCTTACATGATTATTTTTTAAAGAGCTAATTTATAGTGTTTACATATAACCAAAAGATTCCTTTAAACCAGTACTGTAATAAGTTATGTAATGAAAAGACATCTTGTATTTCAAAGTTTGTGTAAAGCTGGGTGTTGTCATAGAAGTAATACATACTTCACATAACTGGTAAACTCAATGATTCAACCTGCTGTGTTTATATTACCCTGCAAGAACATTTCAGTTTTAAAGAATATATATTAGAACATGAGGAAATTATTATATATTCTGCTTTAAATTAAAAAAAAATTCCATACCTTTTGTCTCTGCTATTGTTTCATATAATCTCTGAAAGGAATGCAACAAACTGTTCAAAGAAAGTTAGGATGGAGGTCGGAGCCTCATCTCTCTGGTTTGGTTATTTAATGGTTTGTCAGCATTTTGGCAGTAGGTTGTCAAATCGCTGAAACTGTTGCAATCCATTTCCTGCCCTAGCAGCTTACCAGTCTGTGAGGCTGGCTGAGGCATCACTGCTCTCCTCTGCCCTGACACAGAGTGACAGCCAGAGAGGGCCTTTGAGGAAAAAAGGACGGTTGGACAGAGTGTATTTTGAAACTGTTGGGAAGTCCTAATTTAGGGCATACTGAAATTTTTAAAAGGCTCTTAAGCAGCTTCTGTGCAGCTCCCATCTTCTGCTGATCACTGACTTGGGCCCAGCCACAGAAGAGAAGTCAGTAAAGATGCCTCTGCATTTTTATTTTTATCTTCTGAGCGGGGTCAGTACAAGAAGAAAATGCAGCTAAAAAAAGCAAGTCAGGTCTTTTGTCTCAAGCAGTACGTGAACACTCCTCTTGCAAGGCATGTTTCCTAGTAACAGCAAATGGAGAACAGAAATACTTGTAGTCTTCAGAAAAAGAAATTGGGACATGCTATATGAAAGCTGTTTTGTAAGGTGGATGGTTGAATTAAAAAAATTAGAAAGTGCTTTCAAGTTTTAACTTTTCAGACAAGCACTGTCCCTTGCCCAAATAACAAACTCTAACTTACTGTTTCTCGGATAAGGACAATGAAAAAAGTGACTTGCAAAAGCAAAATGAAATTTTGTGCATGCTACTACAATACATGAAGTCAGCGTACTAGTAGGGTGCCTTATTTATTCTTGCATTTGTTTCCAGGTTTAATGTTCATGCAAAAACAATGAGCAATAACCAATGTATTTAGCATTATATTTGTAAAATTGTTTGGGTACAGTACTGTTCAAGACTCAGTATTAATAAAAATGAAACCACTTACATTAAATCACACCTTACTGTTTAAATAAAAGTAATGTGATTAATGGCAGAATTTCTGTCTCTCTGCACTGTCTTACTTCATATAGGTTGAGTCCCATATACAGATCCCCATGAGATATTTATCTTTACAGCTAGATCTAGCAAAAATCTGTAAAGTTGGGGGTTTTCTCCCCAAATGTAGAGTGGTCTTCCTTATACCCCATTAGGGAAGATGCACAGTGTGCAAAGTGGTAACAATCAAATTTTACTATGGATATCTTCAAGCTTTCCCAGTCAGATTTTCAGAAAGAAATAATGCAAACATCTCAGTTCTTGCAGGGGACACATAAGCTGGGAACAAGTGCCATAAACATTTTTGCTATGTACTATCTTTGTACCTTGTACACAGAGTTTCACAAGTGAGCCAAAATCCACAATGTGCCCTCTATTCAAAACAGTGTGAATTCACAGGGTCTTTATTTGGCTTTTCATGTGATCTGAGAATCCAGATATCAACAGGGATATGAGATGTTGAAGATGTGAGAAAATGGTTATTTAGCAATGTTCTCATTACAGGAAAGATGAGTAGAATGAAAATGAAATTCCAAGCCACAAAGGCTGCAGACACCTCTAACAGAAAACTTTCTTCCTAGTTCAGAACCTCATAGTAGCTGCCTCTACAGGCAGGCCTCTACAGATTGTCTAGTTCAATGCCCTGGCTCAAAACAGGACATATTACATATGTGCTCCAGAACATCCACCTCTTCTCCTTTTGCTCTTTGAACCAATGGGAGGTACTGCTTTTTTTATCAGTGAGGCCTTCAGCCACCCAAAAGCCATCTGTGACCTCACCTGCCTTTATACCAGATCATAAAGACCAAAATTCTAGAGTGTAATTTATGATGTCTGCTCTGGGGGGAAAAAAAAAAGACTTAGAAAAACTGAAAAATATGGTTCTATGAATACAGAGAAACTAACCCATAGTATATATTTCACACTGAGCAGAAGGATTAATGCCCATTTTAGAAACGAAGACACACAACAGCTCAGTTTAAAAGATTTAGCAGAAAGGGCCATGGAGGACACTATACAACTCCACAGGAGCTGGTGTCAAGATATGCCAATAAAGCAGTGGTGACTCCAGGCAGGTCAACATGGTCCTCTCAACATGGCACCAAGTGTCACTCTTCAGGCATCAACATGTTGACTGCTGCAGAGGCCTAGACTCACCAGTACATAGATTGGAAAAGGGCTCCACATGCAAGAGTTACTCCCCAGATGTGGTTTAGGAAGCTTCTTCTACCTCCTCCCTGCTGCAAGTTGCAATTTCCAACTGGGATCTAGCAGTCAACTGCTTCAGCCCTTCAAGTTGACAGAATGGAGCAGCTTACTTAACTTCAGCAGTTTCCAAGTGTTTCAAACTACAGAGAAAGGGGGTTGTTATGTTCTGGGCTCTGATACACCGCTCACGTACACATGTATGCACTGTCTGGCCTGGACTCAAATCTCTAACCCAACTGCCAGCCTTCCCTCCAGGTGTAGCTATCTGCAGTCCTTTGCATCCCTGCTCGCCTCTTCCCCTGGAAAAAATCTCACATTCAGCACGCGAGCGAAGTGGAAAACTCCCAGCTCATTTTTTTCCTTCCTCCCTGCAAAAAGAAAAACACCAAAACCAAACCAAACCAACTTTTCAAATTCCACATACCTATTTTCAACATGGGCCCCCTGCTTTCTTAGCTAAATGTCCTTTAAAGCTTTTAACTCCAGGCAGTCAGGGAACCCTCCAAACCATGTTGTCCCACGTACCATCTACGTAGGAATTTCAGAGGATCTCTTTTACCTACATCTCGTATAGCTAACCTGGCTCATGCCACTGACTCACACCTGCCAGGAAAGAGGACGTTTAGCTAGTGCTGCACGTGGTGCTCATGAGCAAGCACACCCTGCTTCTCCCTGGGCTGCTTCAGCTCAATGCATCATCGCCTTGAGGGAAAAAAAGGAAACTTGTTCCCTGAGTCATTGAGTTACTGTCACAAAGAGGCACCCTTCAACCTGTGCCACTCGCTGTGCTTCTCATCCCCGGATGCCAGCTGGTCAAAAAGAGCCTTAGAATGCTCAAGGCAATGAATAAGAAAGACGAAGGTATAAAAAAGCCCAAGAGAATCTTCCTGGGGACTTGCCACTGACCTCCGGCACATGCTGCGTTCTCCCAACTGGCTAGTGGTGCTTCTTGCCAGCCAGCAAAATAACTCTTGCAGCCAGTCTGCTGTGGAACATCTCAGCCATGATTCTGGTTTGTTGGGATTTTTTAAATTTTCATTCTGACACAAGAAAAGAAAAAATCTGCCAAACAGACAGTGGTTCTTCATTGGCAAACATCTCTTCCTCTGACGGATCCAATTTTCCTGACTCATTTCTTCTACTGCAGATGCAAAAATCAGCCTCTCCCTTCTTCCTGGATGAGGATAAGAAGAACTTTTTGAATGTACAGAAGGGAGGGAAATTAGGGCCCTATGCTGTCTCGGCTGCTCCTCCAATTCCTTTAAGGTACTATATACACGTAGTGATTAGAAACCCACGGGTTTAAATCAGCTTCCCGGGTGGCCTGACCTCACCTGTCTGAGTGAGGCATTTGCCTGAGGTGCTTGCAAGGTTAATGACCGGTGAAAGGTTTTGGCAGCTACTGCCTCTGGATGCTTCTTTCCCCAGATGAGATGTCTGATAAGCCGTAGGGCAGGCTGGGGGTCTGTTCACATGTCAAATGGCACAGCGAGATCTGTGTGCTGGCAGGACTGCTGTGGTTGAGTTTGGGATCAAGAGCTCAACCCTCTAACTATGCAGCTTACCCTAAGGCTGCAGTTTCACAAGCAGCTGTCAAAAAGCTCCCCACGCCAAAAGGAGAAGGCTTGCTCCTCCTCCACCCTTGCCTTTTCTTATCCTCCCTGATTCCCGTCATATGGTCCTCAGCCTTTCTTACTCTGGTAGAATATGATTCAGCTTTTCCACTGAGTTGCTTTGGAGTTTTTTGCTAGCTCAGTAAGTTAAATTTGCTTGCCTATGGGGGTCCCTCAGGTGCTAGATAGAAGGCAACACGAGGTAAGGAGTTGGAGAACACTGCTGAAAGTGAGGAAAGAAAGTGGAGAACACAATGGAAGACGTTTCTCCTTTTTGGTGACAGTCACCTCCAGAAGCCATAGCCCAACAGGGCACTCTCTGCAATTAGTGGGATGAGCCGTGTATCAGCTGAGTTACTGCTCCTGTGAAAAAGGGCATAACCAAGAGCCACTCCAGCAGCATTACAGCAGCCGTAAACAAGGCTAAACGAACAAAAAATCCTTTTGGGTTAAATCTCCCCTATCCACATACTCCATCGAGGTGAATGCAGTTTCAACTCCCTCCCCAGGTTCTCCAGTTCTGCAGTAAATTCGTGCCTGAGCACTCCTGTTAATATTCACTACACCTTCTAAGGAGTGTAGATCTGTAAAGTTTGTGTTCTTACAGCAAAGTGACATTCGCTAGCAAGCTCACGCTATCAGTGCTTCAAAATGCTGC